AGTTCATATTTACTCATTGACATTTGTACTTCAGACTGCGTGTAATGTAAGCAAAAGTCAAATTAAAGACATTGTTTTGTTTTCAGGGTTTTTGAGTCATCACCGGTGCTGCCCCTCTCTAACACAAGAGTTTTATTTTCTCAAATTCTCTGAGGTGTCCACACAAATAAAAGTTTTTCTGTTTCTTTTGCATTGTTTTGCTGCTCTCCATGATGAAACTTTGTCATTGTTTTATTTTCCCCATGTTGTTGACATATGTGTGCCAATTTTTTTTCTATTGCCTTTGTATGTTTGGTTGTTTGTCCATGCAACCTTTCTCCGTCACTACCATCCAATCAGGTCTAGAGCCACAGGAACTCTTTCCCAAATCGTTCTTGTAAAAAAAACAGCGATTTTAAATAAAAAAGTGACTCATCAAATACTTGGCTTGATTAAAGGTGGCAAAGTTATTAATTGAATGTAACAAATTATTCAAAACTTATTTTTTTTAAACATTTTTTACATAAAAAGTCTAAAACGCATGTCCTGATATTTTTCTTAATCAGTTGACCTTTAATCACATCCGTCCTCTCACTTACAACATATTTTTCTACACTGTTAATATCTTACACATCAAACCTATGGAACTTTTCACAAACAAAACAAGCACTGCTCTGTGGAAAATAACCACATTAGGCAAATTGGTTTACTTTGCTCATGAGTTACATGTTTTTTTCCCATTCCCAACATATCCCAGAGATCCCCAGTGGTGCTATAAATGTTTTATACTCCGCCCTGGATAAAGGCAAGGCTTGTACACATGTGACACATTGAAGATCTCTGCATGGACAAGAGATGATCGACGGGGCTATTATTACTAGTGTGTGTGTGTGTGTGTGTGTGTGTCAGAGCGTGTAGTGCAAGGGTCTATTGACATCCTGCTATTCTTTTCACAGTGCAGTGGGATACAGTGTGAGCGTTTGTGTGTATTCTGTATGTGTGTGGGGGAGCGCTGAGGATTTAGGGGTGTGGACTGATCGAAATCTCCCCGCTGACAAGTCCTAGTATCGATCTGTCTGTATCTGCTGCCGACACATGGCCCCCCCCCCCACACACACACACTCACACTAGACCAGTCTGCAGGCTGTAGGAAAAATCTTTCAGTAACATATAACATGTTGAGCACCAGGGCATGGCATTCTGTCTGGGCTGGATCTAGTTTGTTAATATAATTTATTGATGAGATTTGGAGATTTAGAATGCATCGCGGGGCAGGCAAAGTAATGTGAGCAGACAAAAGCAAGATGAAGACAACAAATAAGTATCGCACAAATAAGTATCGCACAAATAAGAGCATTAAAATGAAGAAGGCAAGGATTTGACATGGATTCTTTATAGCACGGAAATATAATTTACAATAAAATATTTTTTTCACAACCATTATTCAATGCATCCTATTAACATAATGGATTTTAGGGCCACACAGACTGTGCTGCTGTAGAGGGGATACAACCTTGGTTTTTCCTTGTGCAAAAAGGCTTGTCCTTGTGGAGCAATGGCTGATGGCTAAACTATGAAGTCCTCAGTGCCAACTTCAAATTTGCATTCATTTTGGCCACCATTAGTTGCTATTACAGTATTGTCGCATGTCAAGTGGAAGCAAAAATGACTTGTGCAGAGCAGCAGAGGCCTATTAAGTGTGCATTCAGTGTGTACAGTGTGTGCACATCTTTTAAATATACTTTATTGTAATTCTGTAAAAATTATATTTTACCATGTATCACGCCCTCTCCAACCAAATGTCTGCCTGTGTCTCTTTGTCCGGACACAAACGCATTACTCGAAGCCTAACAAGATGGATTTTCGTGTGATATGTGATCCTGCGACTCTTGCAAGACCGCATGATATCGCGAGAATCCAGCTGCCATGCAAGGGAGACATGGTCCAATACAAAGCCAAAAGAAGGGAGTGTGTTACATCCACATTTATCCAAATGGTTAGCCTGTAATTATAGTTGGGGAATGAGTGTGTGGGTATTATTGTGTGTGTGTGTGTGTGTGTGTGTGTGTGTGGTGCCCTCTTGTCATATGCCAGATGTGTCTCACTCTCCCTCTCACTCTCCCTCCCTTCTGAATGCCGTCTGAGGCTGCTTGGGGTGATTTAAAAGCATGATGGATGATGCATGTGGATAATACCATTATTCAGTGTTATTAGGGGTGATGGAGAGATTGTATGATGGACAAAAGAGTATGTAATTAGGTGCTTTCACGTACAGTATGAACTGTACGTGCACCCTGTATGTGAGTGTTTCCATCATGCGTGTGCTACACAGGCATCTTGTAATGCTCTCCTCTCTCCCACTGTGCCTTTTAATTTCCTTTTTCTTTTCTTTTTTTTAAAAGCAGAACATGTTCTAGCACACGTGTTGATTTGTTTGTCAGGGTCTGGATGCATCTGGCCCAACAGCAGGAGAGCATTCACATCCTAGCATGTTCGCTGCGGTTCATATCAGTTCATAATGGAGGCGGCATCACACAGAGTGCTGCTGAGGCTTTTACCATATGGGGTGAGGAGAGGGAATGGGCAAACTGCTGGATTTAGATTGGTTGTTGGGTTGGCTACGCTAGATCAAGCTTTTTGAATGTTGTTAAAAATACTGTTCTAAATAATTAAATAATATAGTGTGTGTGTGTGTGTGTGTGTATATATATATGTCATGCAGCAATGGTTTTTAAAATTTAAGCTACATGTCACTGTTGTTTTTGGCACTGTACAGCCAATATCTGTCAATTTTGTTCTTTTCTTGTATTACAATAGTCATATTCTGTTGTTATGAGCTGCATTCTCTCCATCAGCATGAATGAATGCCTCTGATGTGAAACAGTGTGTGTGTGTGTGTGTCTGTGTGTGTGTGTGTGTGTGTGTGTGTGTGTGTGTGTGCATGGACAGTAAAAAGGTGTGTATCAGGCAATTGGTTCCTTTCTGATGGCAGCACACTTCATAATGAGCCATTGTGACGCTGTGCACGGTAAAAACTCATCTTCCTCTTCCTCCAACCAGCTACATTTGTTATTGGCAAATGTAGTCTTTGGAGAATTTCCTCAAAAAGCTGCAGTCATTTTAGCAATTGAACTAAAACAAAACATGTGGGCTCAACATAGGAAGGATGGATAAATGGGTCAACAGGGCATCAGAAATTATGTTTTACACATAATTTTGACCCAGAATCTTTCCTTAAACCTAACCAAGTTAATAAGCTAACCTGACCAAGTGAACTGTGTTGTCACATCAGTTGTGTGGTTTTGGAAGGTACAGTGTAATAATGTCATCTTGCAGATACGTCAGAGCATAAAACTCCTCTATATGTCCTTCTAAAAGGGGAGAGACAAACAACGTTTTATTCTTTAACGTGAAAGACTTGCCTTTACTCTTTTCATCTGACAAAAAAGAGAAGGAAAAAAATATATCTGAAGCAATCAACTGAAATTCAGCCATCATTAATGCTATTTACACCTGTGGTGATTCAATGAGGAGAATGTCAAAATGTCTTCTCTGAAAAAGGCCTAGCAGTGCAGGTGTAATAATTTGTTTTCAGGTGAAATTGAGTGACGTTAAACCAGCTCCTAGTCCTTTCATCTTTAATTATTACATTTACAGTGTATTGTTATTGTGTATGGCTCTGAATGCTTTCAATTTTTTCATTAATATTATATTCATGTTATTTATAGAATTCAGACAAGTTATAAAATAGCGAAAAGGGGGTTTGCCTCACTTCAAAATTCATATCCTAAATGGCTGCTCAACTGTACTTCAAACTTTCAAACTTTCACCAAAGAAAGGAGGAGGAAAAAGATGCATGAATGCACAGTGTTCGTCCTCCCTTGGGGTTCATTAGAAGCAATGGAATTCAGTGACCCAGAAACTAAACCTAGCCAAAATCAATTAGCAGACATACACATGCATATATTCAAGCTGCTAATTACAAAAGCCAAACTCCGCCTCACGGGGAGGGGTTTTCCTCTTTGAAGATGAATCAATCTGTGAAAAGCCAAAATGTTTTGTAAATACGGTATTTTTTGTTTGCTTCAACATTTTAATGCTGAGCTGGTGTCAGCCGGTAGATCTTCAAGGGGTTTGATTAGGTTTCAAGGTTCGTAAGACACAAATTTGATGTATTAATGTCTGCTGTATTAATGTGGATCCCTTAAGATGATAGCTGTGACATCTAATTATGCCCTAAAAATTGTTGTGACTGTCACTAAATGCATGCCAACTCCAGGTTTTACAAAGGGAAGACATTATCTACTACTATTAATAATATTTACAATAATATAATTTAATAATGCAGTCAGACCGCTGTTAATGTTTCTTGTTCATTGTTTTTAAATGACTAATATTTCATTGATTTTTGCCTTTTATAAGGAATAAACATGTAAGGAAAAACATTCAATGAAACAAGAGAAAGGGACAAAACATGTTACAAGAGAGGAGCAAAAGAGAAGCACATGTGTTACTAATAACATTAACGATGACTCTGTTCTGTTCGAGTGTACCAGGACCCTAAAGCTAAAGCAGTTAAACATAATACAGCCATCATTTTTTTGTTTTACACCTGTGATTTTCCTGCTTTCATGCTAAAATGTCTTTTGTGAAAAACGTTTATAGTGCCACCATTTGTCAAAATTGGTACTTTTCTTTTTGACATTTGAGAGAGCTAAAATTGATACATTGATTGTTTTATTAACAATGGATCAAATTAGATGTAATTTGAGAGGGGTCCCTGGTAGTGACGACCCCACAGACAATTAGTTCTCCTCAGCTTTACAAACTTATTTTAGTTCATTGTTTTTGGAGACCTAAACAGAGGTAAAAGGCGGGTGCATGAATACATGAATACCAGTCCTCTACGATTAGTGGAGTTCTCTGTTCACTGAATTGTGCGTAAGCTCAACTTTGATAATTGGAGTACTTCCCCTTTAAGAAAGTGACAGCAACAAGCGGCGCAGGAGCTGGTCAGGAACTGGCCAGGAGCGGACGGCGTTCAAGGAATTCCCCAAAAAACTTTTTCCAACACACCGTGCCGTGTTTGTCTGTTTACTGTCCAACTTCGCCTCCGTCGTCGCCTCCGAATGTGACAATAACGGTAACGTCGCCAAGCTGTGTGTGTCGGTGATGAAGTGGACGCCACTTAACCGCTCGGAAGAAGGAAAGTCGCGAGAGGAAAAACTTCTCAAATGATGCTGCATCCCTCCCTCCAAAGTTCAGCTAAGGTGGCTAACGTTAGCTAGCGCAGGACTCAGCTCGCTAACTCTGATGTGAACGTTTGGATACTCGTTTGTTCATCTTGTCGGAACAAGTTGTGTAGCTACACATTACTTAATGGAGTGGAGAAGGGCGTGAGGATATCTAACTGAGAGCTCTCATCCTTGGCTGACCAGGTTACAGTATCAAGCTAATCATCTTTTAGCCAAGTGGAGCTAGCTGAACGACAGCTAGCCAAGTGTCACATTAAAGTTGACAAGAGTTAGCCTTCTTTAAAGACAAAATGGCATGACACATACTTCCCGTTTACCAGCTGCTCTCCATCATTACAAGACTGCAGTATCTTTTTAAAAAACTTTTCTGGAAACTGAACAAGTCAATAAATGGAGCAGCAGAAAGCTACAACTTGAGATTAGAAAGGACAAGATAATCACCCTCATGACCATATAATGAGAATAACGGACCCGGATGTACTTGCTCTCATCATTACCACCTCGAGTTGTTGGCTGTAAAGTAGGAAGGAATGGTGATTAACAGCTTTAGTAAAGAGCTCCACTGACTCTGGACCACTCTGGCAATCTGTGTCCTTTTTTGAAGAAGTTGGTTTGAGTGACATCACATCCCTGACTCTTTATCAACACTTCCTGGGTGAGCGTACTGCAGCTTGGAGACCCACACCCTGAGGGACCGCACCTTGGATCAGGGTTCGAGAGTGCTACGCGATGAAGGTTACGGTGACATTTGGGCAGACCGGTGTGGTGGTGCCCTGCAAGGAGGGCTGGACTGTGAGGGACCTCATCCAGCAAGCCACGCAGAGATACAGAAAACTCCTGGAACAGGTCTGAAATGCTCCTATTAGCAGTGACACTTAAAAGCCTTTTGAGAGAATAGGCCGTGTTGTGACGTAGAACTGTAAGAATGCAGGCAAAAGTGGCATTCACTCAATGTACAGACATCATTATGCGATGCTTGTTGTGGGTATTTATTGCCGCGTTTGATGCTTGCTGTTGAAAAAAGTACTATGATTTGAAGGTAACTCTATTGGCTCTGTGGTAGGTATATCAAAATGTACTCACCTTGTACATCATCTTACTAACAGTGATGGTGAATGTATCTTAAATGCAGTTTATTTATCTGAGTGGCGATCATTTTAGTTGTAGAATAAGTTTCATTTTCATAGATACCAAAATAGTCCATGAACACGAACAAAAGCATGAAAACACAACTCTTTTCTTTTTTTTTTTTTTTTTAGGCTATTTGACCTGTGAGCCATCAGTTAGCTGCATTATTCATCATCAGAAATAGTTTTGTAATAGAGTGTTAAGATTTTTATGAACCCCTGAAAGACTGAGAGAAGATAACTTTTTATGAAACAGCATTTTCATAGCATTTGAGGATTTCCCCGAAGTCATAAAAGAATAATCGAATGCTCTGTCATTTTTATATCATGAAGGGGGCCGTGTGATTTTCACATTCCAAAGTCTTGGGAAATTAGACAAAGCCATGGAGGTCCGGTTCTCCATAATTGCTGTATGAAAAATTAAAACCATATCTGATATGAATTGTGATGGTCCAGACAGGAGCAGGCATGAGTCGTTTCCACTTAAGTCGTGAATGTGGAATGCAAATGACTCCGTCTTGTGATTCCTTTATGACTGCTGTTGATCCCCCGCGCTGCTCTCGGGTCGGGAGCCTCGTGACCCCCATCAAACCGCCGAATCTTCTCAGTGACTCGCTTCATATTGGCTCCATTATTCAAAGAGCACACCAGTCATATAGATGGATGGCCTTGGTTGTGATTGAGGGGGAGATGTCAAGTCTGTGTCTGTGTGTGTTTGTGTGGGACGGACGGACAGAGAGACAGCTCCTCGGAGATGGACTCTTTTTTTTTTTTCTTCACCCCCTCTCTAGTTTTCTGCCTCTTAATCTGCTTTCATCTAGCCGTACGTCAGCCCTCCCTCCTCAGTGCTTCTTGTGTTTTTCGCCCCTTTGTCTCATTTATCATCTTTTCCTGCTCTCGAGTACATCGCCTCTTCACCTTCCACACGCTTCCCTTTCATTTCAACTCTTTCTTCCTCTTTGAAACACTTCCTCCTTCACCTTCCGTTGTTCTTCATGAGATAATTCTGTTCCGCCTAGAAGTACAGATTAATAGTCTACATTTTAAGTGTTTTAAGTGTCTAAACTAACAGGATGAGCAATGTATACCACTGTAGGTTCAGCTAGAGAGCTGAAATAACAGCAACTCTTAAAGAAATGAAAGAAATACAATCTCCCAGTTTTAATCCTTTGTCCCTGTGTTAATTGTCCATTTGTTATATGACAAATATATGTAAAAAAATAAGCATCAGTGTTTTTTATATCAAATCCCTTTCTTTTCTCTTCTGTAAACTGGTTTTAAATACGGTTTGATGACTCTGCATGTACTGCAGTGACACAGCTGGTTGAAGATCAGTAAAGTTTACTTTTCATCTCTCCCTCGTCCTCCTCCTAGTCTAACAACAGGTGAGGAAGGTGTGTGTTTTGAGCTAACAGTCCTCTGTAGCTCCGTATCGTGCTAAACTCTATGAACTGTACACTCCTCATATATTCATTTTCACCAAGAAATACTTCACGAGACAGAAGAAAGTCGCTTTAGCTTCTGTTTCACTCGGACTTTAAAAAGTAACGACATTGACCCCCAAACCTATTGACTGCTAATAGGATTTAAGTGATATTATGAACAATTTTAGTGCCTGCCCACACTACGCTACACCAATTACATTACCTGTACTGACATTATTGGTCTGAAATGAAAGGAGTAACAGTAATTTATGATTTTGAATGAATGACTGCACGATGAATTCATTCATTTTAATTTCAGTTTGAAAACAAAAGGTTGATACACTCGCCATGTAGAGCAGTTCAGGCCCACTGCTCTAGTGCTGGTGGAGCACTAGAGCAGCAACACTTTCTGTGTTCTTAATGTTCACAAAGAGGCAGCATTAGTGCTCCAGGTGTGTAATGATGCACCTCCCTGCTCCATCGATTAGCTCTCACAGTGTTTACATTCTTTGCTTCCTGTATGTGTGAATGAAATGCCTTGTTAAGTCCATGCACACTGGCCTGCCCTCCTACCGATATTCCTCTTCCTCTTCTCTTCTTCCTCTGTTTTCTCTCTCTCGTCCTGCTCTCTCCCACACCATTGTCAGCACTTTGCCGTCTCGTTTACATTCCTCGTAATTTTCACCTCTCCTTACCGCCATCATTAACCCAGTTTTTTAAGGTTTTGGCCTCTTCCTCTGTCATATTTTAGATATTCACCTTTTGATTGTGTTCACTTTTTTCACAACTCCCCTTTCACCTCCTTTTACTGGCTCCTCCTCAACATCTTCCTCATTCCTCCTCTCTAGGATGGAGAATACCTATTCTCCTTAATGGCTTCATTTCATCCCGACTTCTCTCTCGGAATTTGTTTCTCTGTGTATTTTTCTCTCTCTCTTCCCATCAGTCAGCCATTTCCCTGCAACACTAATCTGTTGTTACTGTGTAATTATGTCTGTTAATGTGTACCAGGATTATAAAACCAGGATATGTGTGTGTTGTAGAGCGGTCCGGTCCCTAATCCTCCCTCCCAGAGCTCTGAAAATCATGTTTTTAAATTGTCAGAGAGACAGCTTGCTTTCCTGTCTGACTCTCTCCCTCCTCCCCTCCTCCCTATCTGCTTCATGCTACTCAGAAAGTATGCTGCTTGTACTTTCTTTAATCTTGTGTGTTCCTGCGCTGTAGCTAACTGACACTGGCAGCTATCAGCTGCTTTGTTAGGAGTTCTCACAGAGGCGCTTTAGAGGAGCTAACACTTAGAATAGGCATTAAAGCTACGCTTTAGTGAGGGGATTCCTGAGGTTTAGTCTCAAGTTAAGTTTCAGAGAGGATTTATTTTCTGATTTAGTAGCATTGGATTTTTTCTTTTCTTTTAAATTCACATTGATCGCAGCCTGATTATTAGAATTTGTTTGCCTGAACGTGAAAGGCAATAAAAGTTTGGTAAAGCAGACTTTTTCACACTACTGCATTGGAAAGTCTCCTGTCTCTGTGGACTCTTACTTCCTCGACCAAAGAAAGTCTTAGTCGACTAATCGATCTGTAAAACTGAGTTTCTCTGAAAGTAGTCACACAAAAGCACCGCTTTAAATCTTGTGTTTACCAGAGATGTGTTAATACGTAGTCTTTATAGAAAGAAGCGGAGTTTCAGTGAGTGGATAAAATATAGGTTTGATATTTGGCTCTACAAGGCTCTTGTAGAGAGGTAGCAGAAGAAATGAATGAACCTTTTGCAGAAATCAGAACAAAGATGATGATTGTAAAAAGGGACGGCACGGCACGGCGAAGAGGAAGTGTGGCCAGAGAACGAGGATGGAGGGAGGGAGGAGAGGTTGTTTTTCGAGGGGAGTTGTCAGGAAGTTATCAGCTTGTTGACAGACTTCTTAATTACCTTTGGCCAAACAGACTAGTGTGCAGTTGTGTGATCATAGACGCTTGTTTATGTGGTTTCAGGTTGTATTCTGTGAAATATCAAACTGGATCTCATCAACATATCAGTGTGTGTGTATATTCTAGTGAGATGTGACATGAGTTACCTCTCTAAAATATATATGCAATACATGTTTATACATATTAGATTCTCTACATTTCACACAATGTTGTAGCTAACAGTGTTGTGTGTGTGTGTGGTTCAAATAAAGAAACAAACTCAAACCTTTAGTAAGCTGATGGTGTTGTGTGTGCGCATGTACAGTACATGCTTACACTCGCACATATAAGATAGATGTGTAGGAAAGGGTTCCCAGCTATGTGTGTGTGTGTGCTGTAGTTTCATTAGCCAGGGCAGGAATGCTGATGAGGCGTGGCCAAACAAGCTGATAGAAATCATACAACATCCTGGACCCCTGCCAGAGCACCGGCAATTATTTGTGAGAGGGCGGGAGGAGCAGGGAGGAGACGCGTGTCGCAGAATGTGTTGATCCAGCCTGACATCTATTCTGTTCTATTCTTTTCTGTTCTATTCTCCAAGTTAGGTTGAGTGTAATGGCACACGCGCTTTTCCAAACTAACCTGACAAGCTTGCCAAAGCTAGATCATTCTTTCATTAGAATGAATGTCCTTGTATACAGATCACCCTGGTTGGTTAATTGTACTGTTTTACTATATTAGTTGTCAAAAAATGTCTGCTCACCAGACCGTGTTTAAAAACCAAATATATGTTTTCTTACTAGTCGTGATGGCACTATTTTAGTTTCAACCCATCTAGATGGACCTTATTTTCTCTAACTAAGAGAGTGAAGAATCAGCTTGTCTACGGCTTGACTGTGGAATGTTAACCTGGTGAGTAATGGAGTCCGTGGCATTTCCACCAGTGATTATCTTGCTTTGTGACTGCGGGGTCACAAGATGGGCCAGGAGACAATTTAACTCACACAATTTATTCATTTATTCCCACGTCATAGAGTGCTGCAGGAATGATTCCTAAAGTCTGGAAAAGAGCTTTTGGTTGGATGCCTGAAATAAGGTCGCAAGCTTTTTCTCCGACATAAAATCTGTCAGTTAGTATCCCATTCATGAATTGTAAAAATCCAACACTAGGCTGCCTATAACTTAGTGGTGGTGGACACATTTATAGCCTCACATTGGCTTTTTACTTTTGCAGATTGCATTTGAGCTTCAAAAGTCATACACATGTTTTTCATTTGTGAACATTGTCTTGCTAAAAAACGTGTAAGTATCAGAAATGAAGCTTATTTTTTTGCAATAATCCAATGAAAAATCGTTCAAAGGAACCAATGTGACGCTCACTTCCAGGTTGACTTACAATAATGTGTCATCCCTGCAGCACTCTATTAGGTGCTAACTCAGAACTCGCTGCCTTTACTAAATAATACTTTGTAGCAATACTACTTTATACTACTGGCATAACTGACCTGCTGGACTAAACTGTGATGACACCAGACCTCACCGTTTTGCCCCATAGGTCCTTAATATTGAAGCACACACCTGACAACACTGTATTATCCACATAGTGTTTTAACTGTGGTGGGATTTTACTACAACCTAATAATAATTGCTAGACCATGTCATGAGAGATAAATACCTAGATTATCTGTAATAGTATCAGTAAAAACACTGTGTTAAGTGCTAATCCCCCTGATTCAGAGATTAGACGGGGCTGTTTACGACTCTTATCTTCAGTCCTGCGGTATCGGAGCGTCCCTCTAGCTTTTTAAACTGCCACACTTGGAGGCACAGGGCTGTAACACATTATGGATGCACTCCCCCTGAATATCAGATTAGATCAGTGCGCTGGCAGCACTTATCTCTCTACCGTCTCCTGTCGTCTTAGCGTGCCTACTGTAACAAGAGATCAAAGGGGCTGTTGACCTAATAACAGCAGCAGGTCACCAAAGAAACGAGGCGGTTGAACACTAAATGAGAGACGCCTAATTCTGAGTGACAAATGCCGTCGCTTTACCGGATAAATGCAGCCAACAATGTTACCTGTTTCTTGTCTGAAAGGATAACAATGACATGGAATGGAGAAAAGCCTTTGCGTTTGTGATTGTATGGCATCACATGACAAGCAAATGGTTCAGTTTTTGCTGTAAAGACAGCATTTTTCTGGACTAGATTACTGACCACGCTATTAGCTGGCATACTGCCCCGAGGCCCCAGGTCCCCACGGTCCCCAAAAGCTCCGTGTTTACGATGTGTCAAAATGTGTTGTTGTAGTTTGATGAACTGCTAATTATTTTGGGACCAGGCACCTCTAAGGCACAGTATCGACTCAAATGAATGCTGTGTGAACGGTAGTGTGGGTCAGCAGAGGCCCACAGGACGCCTCAGGTTGTGGATTCCATGACCAGAGCGTCGATATTAAAGACATTTTTCTTGCTTCCGAGTTGGCTCAGTAGATTTTTAGCTCGGAAGTAATATTTTTACTGTAAGCAAGCCAGTGGAAATGTGCCTCTTACTGCTTCTCTGTAGTTTTGTTATGTAAGAATGTAAGACGTGGTAGAGTCTGTGTTTCTGTCGAGGGTTAGCTCGTTGCGTTGCTCGTGCGGTGACTCACAGTTTGTGTGGGGATGATGGATTGAGTGCTTACCATTAAACCAGCAAAGACAAAATCTCACTCTCTCGGGACTCATCCTGAAGCCCGAGGGGTAATAAAAGCACAAGTCTTTGTGCAAAAGCTGAGGGCAGAAGAGATACAAAATCATTTTACATGACACTTTGGCACTGAAATATTCCTGAGTAATCATAAAAACAACACATTCACACGCCTTGTTACAGAGTTAATATGCCCCCAAACCCGGATTCATAGTGCTCAAGGAAGATAAACACGGTGCAAAAGAGAAATTAAAACAATGTAAACACAATACTGAAAACCTCTCTCTCTCTCATACATGTGGCCTGGGTGTCAGCCAAGTCAGTGTTACAATAGAGTCGTACAATGACTCCTATCAGGGAGGGAGGGGGAGGAGAGACAATTCAACAGTAAGAACGAGTCCTGTGTAACGGTGATGGTTGAAAAGCCATTGAAATTTCTGTTTTTTGTGGGACGTAATAGAAAAAAAGTGTTTTTATGGACCCAGGCTAAATTCAACTTGTGATAAAGGCTTTATCTTCAGGAAGCAAACAGCCATGTTTGTGAGTGTCTTGTGTATATCAGCTGGCATCAGGTGCCAGTTAATATTTCACTGCACTTATCAATGAAGTTAGGTATAATCGAAGTCTGGTAAATAGCAGTGGCTTTACTGTAGCCAATGCTTAATGCAGAGCTGATTTTAGTGAAGGAACTGGTTTGAGACCTGCGGTGACATCTCTCTCTCACACTCTCCCTAATGGGAGCTTTTGAGAAGCATTGACAAGCACCTGACCCTGAAACAGGGATTTAATGGAGCAGCACCCTGTAACGAGTTGAGTCATACCTTTCTGTTGGCTGTTTGTGGTTTTGTGTGTGTGTGTGTGTTGTCTCAATATGTTGTTCAACAACCGGCTCTATGTAGTCAGCTGTCCGGTGCAGCGTAGATGTCATTAATTACAGACCCAACACAGCGGAGAGAGGAGGGAGAGAGGGAGAGGAGGGAGAGAGGGCCAGGCTGTAATCTGTACAAGGTACCTAGGGAAAGATGTGGAGGATGTAAGGAGGAAGGAAACAAAGACGAGGGCACAGCTGGGAGGTGGAGGTGAACAGTGAGAGGTAGGCCTGTATACTGTACATGTGGAGATGGTGACTAGGACAATAGGGGAAGCCTTTGGAGTTTTAAGTCCCCGTGAAATATTAATTGACTGTTATTGTGGTTTGAAAATAAAATAAAAAACAAAATAAAAATGTAAAACCATAAAACTACTTTTGCCATTTTCCATTTTATTTTTGATTATCTCTCCCTGTGTTATACCCTCGTTCAGTGTGTTTTTTTTTCATAAAAAATACGCCATATTTAGAAAATAGTAACTGTTTAATGTGGATTTTAATGTTCAAGATAGAATATTAAATGTGAATAAACAAATTGAAGTTGCTGAGGAGAATTTTGGGTGTTGCACTAGTCTAAATAATGTGCTTATTCCTCATAGACAAAATGTTACACACTCGATTATTTTTGTATTAATTCACAAATTATGTTTTGTTACACCGTCAACCATTTTTTATTGTTTTTAATTTTTACTATTGAACCCTCTGTACTGATGGCTTGATTCATTTTGACGGTGATGGTCGTGGGACTCACAACATTTAAAGAAGTAGTCATAAACTCTGTGCATACGCTCTAATAATACTAATAATCTAAAATATAGAGCGTGGTCAGCAGGTATCATGTTCGTTCACACACTGAGTCGTTGATCTAACTTTGTGATGTCCTGTGGTTTTAGGAAGGAGACTTCCTGGTTCGGACTCACCACGTTGAGTACTGTGACGGGGGGATTCTGGACCCCGATGACATCCTCAGTGATCTGGTAGAAGACAAGGACAAGGTAAGAACCTCTCAGTACAATATATCATGTTTAGTTTGCTCCCACTTTTAATATATATTCCTTTATTATAAAAATGGGCATTGTGAACGAGGAATTCAGTGGTCTTATGTGACTTTAAGTGAACCACAAACAGCCACGTAACATCTATATGCTCAGTTAATACCTTTTGAAATGAAACTAACACGAATGAGGTTAGATTTAGGACTCAGACGTGCATGTGACCAACCAAATGTTGAGCCAGCAAGTCCACCAAGAAGTGCCGGACAGCTCATTACCAAAGAGCTACAAAATCACTGTTTTTAAGTCTTTAAATATCTCTCTTATAATGCATGTAATCTTTTTGATTTATACCAGTTAATAAGTCACACACCACTGTGCTCTCACACAGGTGTGTGTGTGCTTGTCGGGATGTTAGAGCAGGTATCTGTGTGTTCACACTGAGTATTGAGCTGCGGTGGCCTATAAGCCACTCTCTTGGGTAGAATATTGCCTCACAAGCAAAATTCAAAAGGAAAAGGTTTTAACTCGCCTTCAGCGTTCGGCAGTGTTATTAGCAATTCACTTTTGGAGACTTTGCATAATCAATCCATATATCCCGTTTTTCTTATTTTTCGCCCCCGAGGAATGTGTCATTTTTCATTTTCCCCTTTGGAAAATCTCGGTTTCTTCACACTGCCACATAGACTAGGCAGTATTAGAAGGTGATAAATGGCTGAGATTAAGGGCTCTTTGAACCATGACTTAGGACCTCAAATGAATCTGGAATCTTCTCTCGGTGGCGCTTCACATTAAAACAGTATCAACATTATTTAATGAGCCCGTGTCCTGTGGTGGACTGAATTTTTCATTTAGGTCACAGCTTAAAAAAAGCCTGAACAAACCTACTGGCTAGAGAATGTAATGCACAGTGTATTTCCCTGTCCTCAGCTCATACTGTATGCCTTTAAGCGTGTATAAATACTGCAGGATTTGTCGGAGATTCTATGAACTAATTAAGAACAAAGTTGCATTGGTTGGCAATTTCTCTCGGGGCTGTAAGAACCTTTGGGAAGAAGTGATCTCTCTCTCTCTCTCTCTCTCTCTCTGCCGCTGTTCACGTCTAAATATTCATTCTTACGCTTCAAATCTTGTTTTTTAGATGTTGTGACGAAGACAATTTTGTTCATGTGAATATAATCTAGTGTTATTAACGGTGTTTTTTTCAGCATTGCTGTATAAATCTGAATAACGTGAACTATTTTACAGTATAGAAATATAAATCTGACACGCTAAGCAGCAGCCATATCACTCAGTGACAGGAGCAACAACAGAGTCAGGACACCAGCCACTGACCTAGGATCAGGGATTACGGTTATGAGAGCCTGTTGCCATGGTTCTGTAGAGAGCAGCGTGCACTGGTCCTGCTGCTGGCCAGTTGTCACTTGAAACTTCCACAATGGAAACGGAGAACATATCGTCTGTGGCGTATTCACTCAATCCCTCAATGCAGGGCTCCGTGTTTTATTGATACGAACAAAGCCTGAAGCGTCCGGGAGGTGAAGTGTTCCAAACAGTTATTTATAGCCCTTTTCAGACGTTTTACCTTCACGTGATGGCAATTTCACATGTGGGTCTCATGTCTGAATGAGAACCGTGGTCGTTACTACGCAAAAGTCTCGACTGCAGTGTGCAAAGTCTCGACAGTTGTATGCCTCACTGTGTGGAACAGGCTTGACTTAAACATTGCTTTGCTTTCCTAACTTTGTAAACATACAAACAAACAAATATATATATATATATAGTGAACTGTTATTTATTAAAATAATGGTATCTGACACCAGATTGGCTTATTGTCAACCGATCCAGCTATTTGAGTGAGTATGAGGCCGACATCGGTATCGCGTCCCTTCTATTTCTACCCGATCAGTAAGAAGTATCTTCCCCTTCCAGTCACAAATCCAATGCGAATCACAATTAGATGCAAATGTAAGTGAAGGCATTACCATTCAAATGCACTTCAGTACGTATGTCATTAGATGAAGCGTCCCTGTTCCCTCGGGCCTGACTTTTTCTCAGCTGAGTAGTATTCCAGCCTGTTGCTCGCTGGTTGCTAGTTATGAGATACGATCCCGTTCACAACCTTTTAATAGGCTTCTAATGAGGAGTTTACCAGTGTGCTCTCGGGCACCAGTGAGGGGGAGCTCCACCGCTGCAATGTGTCGAGGAAGCTTTCAGTTAAAATGTAAAATTGTATCCCGGAATAGCACTGGATCGTTTGAATAGCGGGTCTAGAGTTAAAGCTGGTTTAGCAGCTTTCTGTATCCACGATGGAGTTCTAAATACTGTAAATATGTGTTTGTGTGTGTGCTCCTCAAAGATGCAGCCCAGAAACCACATATAAAAGCACACGCAAAGTACAAAATACAGATTTCAATACTGGGATCAAATACAGTGTCGCACACTAATACCCCACAACACACAGATGGTGAGACACATGCACATATAGTATGATACCCAGCAATACACACTACTGAGCACCAGAGATTGCATATGAAATGAAAGTGTGAAATATTCATTGGATTCTGAAGCGAGGCTCTCGTACTATTACTGAGCTGAGATGAATAAATGGCTCCTAATCCCAGATGAGTGTTTTACTGTCGCCAGACTCAGACTGCCGGCTGTAAAATAGAAAACAGAGAGCATCTCTGAGGTCTGCTGGAGGCAGAGGTCAGAAATACAGTTTAAAAAATATATATACCCAAGTCATGCATTTGAGAGAGAGAGGGCTCACATTTATGAATGTTTGAGGTGATATTTATGTAGCAATGAAGTGTATATCAGTATATGTCTCTATATATCTTAGATAGGCAGAAAAATGCTGTAATATATAACAGTATAATGCAAACACAATGCATGTACCTACAGACAGAGCTCCAGTAGAAGGCCAATCAAGTCATTTATTACAATAATAAAAACATACACCTTTTAAACATACACACACAGCTTCCTAAGGAGTGGGGTTGTGTGTGTGTGTGTGTGTGTGTGTGTGTGTGTGTGTGTGCGTGCAATAGTGCAGGGCGTAGAAATGTGTGACGCGGTACTTTTAGGATATTAACGGGATGAACCGGTACACCGCCCCTGTGCAGACTGTTTTACCCCGTTACCCTAATACCTCCCTTGCATGTTGCATGTATGGATTCCCATCAGCAGTTTCTATTTATCTGGAAGTTTATTCCGAATGTATTTTCAATCCCAATGAAAGAAACCTGTAATAATACATTACCATGTTTGACCTATTTAGAAACACTCTGGAAAGACAATTTGAACTCACTGAAATAGGGCGGCTCTCCATGAGCACAGCTTTAATCACGGATAATTGTGCCAATCATTATTTATCCTATTGATGGCTCGACTCACACAGGAAAGGGCCAATGGTTTGATTGTATTGCATCCTCATTCAGATGGAGAGACTATTACCCTCTATTTGTTCTGCTTCGAGCTAAAATGATTCTGTTCATGAGCAAATGTGCTTCATTTTACTCAAAGGCATTTTTCTATTGCTGCTTTCCCACGATATCAGTATTTATGATGGAGGATCCAACTTTCTTCTATATTTTAAGATCTCTATCGGAAATACCCGATCCTGATGCCCAGAGTTGAGTTATTGGGAGAGGAAATCAAGGCAGGGTTATATTTTCAGCTTTGAATAACTGACACTGAACTGGTAACCTTCTTGTATCCTTAATCTGTTTCCTTGTCTCAGATGAGTTTACTTGCCATGATCAGACGATGTGAGATCTCCGGTGTTCACGAGCTTCTCCTGTGGGCACCTTCCTCAGATAACTTTTGTTCAATAAGGTCTACAATGCCACAATAGTGCACTTTTCTGGAAAACCGTTGGTAAACTGCCTCGTTAATCCTGTTAAAATGCACTTTGAATTGATGGAACTTGAAGGACGTCTGGCGATTATACCGTCTGGCTTGCTGATGAGATGAAACAACCTAAACAGTTAGACTTGGATACGTTGAGATGGACAGTTGGTGGATTCAAGCCAACTCAGCGGGGAGTAAGTTGTGTGTGTGTGTGTGTGTGTGTGTGTGTGTGTGTGTGTGTGTGTGTGTGTGTGTGTGTGTGTGTGTATTTGCACCCACGGGTGTATGTGTTGGTCTTCCAGTCAGCCAAAACCATTTGCTGGAGAAGACTATCAGTCCAACGGTTCATCTCTCAGCTTCATTAATATTTAAATAATGCTCTCATTTCCTCTCCCATTACTTTCTTTCTGTCTGATTTGCTTTCTGTTTGCTTGGCACATTTTGCCGTCACATCGGGGGGGGGGGGCATGGTACAGACAGACAGACATGCGTCTGCTGTGTTGGCAGAGCGACGACACATTTAAAATGTGCAAAGGAGATAAACTTTACCCTTTGTAAAAGAGGAGAAGATACTTTTTCTTTCCTCAGAAAGAGGAGGTCAAGAAGAAATAGCAGCAGCACAGGCCGAGGTCTGAGGAAGTGAAACATCACCTGCGTCCAGATAAAGCTGACTTAAGCTTAATTCTCTTTTTCTATTCTGCTTGTGTTGCATGTCTTACTTTAGTCCACATGCAAATCAAAGGTCAGAGAACATTTCTGAAACATTATTAAAAAAAACCTCTTTACCTCCTAACAACTCCAATGCTACTTTGAAGTGATTTCCCCGCCAGTTAAACCAAAATAATTAAGATAATTAAAGGTCACTACAATACCAGAATCATTAGCAAAGTAGCATAATCTCTGATAATGAGGAAATGATTCGGAGCAGGTTTGCGGTTATGAGCAGGCCCGTCCCTCCCTTCTGTGCTCTCTTAATTCTAAGGTTTCCATCACCATGATCACGCAAATGCTGCTGGTCGCTGGTAAACAACACGAGCTGCCGCCGCTAACAGATGCAGCTCTGTGGAAACTCGCTAATTCATTTCTGTCTTTGGGTCGAAGCGCTGTAACTTATAGCATGCACGACGCGCTAGTTCTGGATACAAATT